AGCTTCAAATGCCGCGAATAGAGTTTTGTAGTGGATGGTTTTGGGCTACTTCATTGATATGATGGAGTGCCCGCTGTCCACATCATCGCGCCGTTTTTTAATGTTTAATTAATTTCACTGCCTCAATCCTGATCACAATCTATGCAGATTCGTGCTGGCTATAATAAAATGGCTCAGTGTCTTCTTTTCGCTGCATAGGAGAGTTACGAGGGGCTTTAGTCATATATATTTAGAAATTTATGTATCTATACACACCATACCATATAGCCAATACAAAGCCCGGCTAATTAATTGTCCGATCAGATAGCGTTTTACTATGAAGACATTTAAAAAATTGATATTTAAATAAAATAAATTTCAAAAACTGCAACCATCAGACGTTGTTTCTGATTTGGTTGTTGCCATTGCTGTTGTTTATTCTCCTCTTTTTTCCCCGTTTTGTTGTCTTGTGTGTGTTTGTTAATTAATTTTATTTATGGCTGGCGTTGTGCTAAACAAAATGAGTTGGCTAATTTGGTGATCTGCTGGTGCTGGCATGGGAACAGTGCATGTGGAAGGAAGCGGCTATTGTATGTATTTTAAATGTGAAAAAATCTCAGCAATAAATTTAAAGAGATTATAGATATGTGTATGTCGACTGACCGCACAGAAGAAGATCTAGAATTACCAGTTAAGGAAAGCGATAAAGTACGGCACTGAACAGAACAGAACAGAACAGAACAGAACAGAACAGATCAATTCATTTAAAGGCTATTGCCTATCTAAAGAGAAATATTATGTGGAGAATGCAAAGAATTATATAATAGAGTCTCCAATACATATAGAAAATTGAGATGAGATTATTCAGCGAATAATTGAATATGTTTCTCTTAGAGTAGATTGAGATAGCAGATTCTAATATGAACTATTTCACATGAAAGTTGCCCGAAGGCAGCCCGAGAGTATATATTTACCGAAAATCTTATGTAATAATACATGCGAAAAGTTCATCACGCCTTTTCCACATATGCAGTAGATACATATAGCAGAATTAAAAGAGCGCTGCTTAAGAATCGCGGAAGTACTGTGCTTTCGTAATCCCCACGATCATAATAAATAATTCTCTTCTATTTCATTTTTTTCTCTTTACTTTTTAAGTTGCGTGTGTTCTCGCATTTGTATAGTCGTTTGTAGGTTTGCCACCTTTGGGAAAAGTAATTGGCAGAGCAGGCGAAAGATTTGGCAGCAGAGCGCACTAAATCACCTCAGTGAGGCGCATAGAAACAACATGACAACAAAATGAACACTTCAACGAAACAACGAAGCAAACAAGAAATAAAGCAAAAGTAGAGACAAAAATAAAAAATACATATATATGAATAGAGTACATATCCATGTATACATATAAATTAATATATATATATATAATAAAAACAGAAAATACAAAGGAGAAAAAAATTATATATATATATATTATAAAAATGACAGCGAAACAAACGAAAACATTATTCATTTAAACGTCTATAAAAACTGCGGAAAAATATGTTAGAAATAAGTGTATGTGTGTGTATAAAAAATAAAATAAAAATTATTCACACATATGCAGCGGGCTGACAAGAGACTTGTTGCTGCTGCTGTTGTTGTTGGCATTTTTTTTGCTTAAATAAAAATCAGCTTGGAAAACAAACTGATTATAAGTTATGGCTGTGCCAGCTGACTGACAACTGGTTAAGATTCATACATTTATGATTTATGATAGTGTGTGTGTGTGTGTGCCTGTCCGTGTGACACACATACACATGCACACAGCCAGAAGATATGTATTCATATATTATAAGCCAATTCACATAATAGCACATAGCCTATAACTTAGCGCATTAGAAATCCCCAAATTGGTGACAACATTCTTGCCGACTCGACCAATCATCAAGTATGTATTATATATTAATATATATATGTATACCCTCAACCGGAAGAATGTGCGTTTTGATATGAAGCATGCGAGCCATAGGTGCCCAAGTCTTTAGGTTCATAAAGAGAATAAGCTATGGACGAGAGCAAAGTTCATTCTGGAACTCTGCCTAGTTTGTGGATAATCCAATATATGCCTCAAATATATGTAGTTCAATTGATTATATTGAGTACCTAGTCTTTGAAAACAGTTCTAAATGAGTCGCTCTCAATCTGTTGCTATGCAAGCAATGCGGGCAGTGATAAAGCTTATATTAGTCAACTCTGCTTGGCATCGATGTTCACACATAATACATACGTACATCATACATCAATTTATATTGCATGTGCTTTTTATGGCATCTAAAATAGTTTCACTATATTGTTACACTATATACTGTGTATATAGATGTTTGCAAGTGTATTAAATCTTCGGTTTGCTTGAAAATATCTTATCTTTTTCATTTTACTGTACAGCAACCACGCTTAATCAACAACAACAAATATATACACATGTATTTAAGAGAAAAAAAGACGACAAGAAAAAACTTGTAGACATCAATCATACAGAAATTAGTCATTTGGATTCGCTTGTCTTTGGTGGCGTGTTCAAGGCATTCTTCTTGGCATCTTTGTGCTTGCCGTGTACTCAACTTTGGCAAACTTATGTGGCAGCCCCCGCACACACACACACACGCACACATGGGCATTTGTGCTTGACATCTATGGCTTTATAATGTATATTTAATAGGCCACTTTTACAAGCAAGCGACAAATAAGACGTCGAAATCATGAAAGTCAAGTTCAAATCGCTCAGCCTTCCTCAAGCAGCAAAATGTGAGTTTTCTATGTAATCAATTTCATAATAATTTGTTAACATGGATTATTATTTGGGTAGAACTATGTCGAAAAAAAAAAAAAACAGCTCTGCATTTACTTATATTTTTTATTATTTCTTCTTAACGATATTTTTATAGGACATGTCGTGTGGTCAAGAACTTTAGAATTCGAGCATTTCTCAAATGAAAGCGCTTATTTTTATTAGAAAATAGGAAAAGTCAAAGAAAATTGCTTGCAGCTGTTACTTTCCGTTCGCATATATTTATGACACTTATAATGCCTGGCACGAAATATATATGTATCTAACATAGTATAAATGTGTATAGTAGATATGTATATAAATATTCAGTATATATGTGGATATATTGAAATCAAATCATGTGCAGCTGCTGCTGCTGCTGCTGCTGCTGCTGATAAGCAATGACTAACTAAAAATTGCTCACTTCGTTTGGCTTAGCTTAAATGGTAATCAAAGTGATTTATGGGCTGGAGGTCAATGCTGTGGCGTTCATAAATGTTTTCAAATTCTCTGCCGTATTTTATTTAAGAATTTGCATGACAAAAACTTGATTTATATGAGACAAGGCTGCCAGAGTGGAAAATGCATAAAAAATATATATGTATATATACATATATTCACAAAAATACATTCGCCGAATGTGGCTGCCAAAAATTATAGAACGCAGTCATGAATTCCAACCAGCTCTCCGTTATTGATAGCTCACCTAATGATTGTCTCACTTGGCTGCAGGGGATCAACGGCTGCATATCTACTCGCTTGGCCGGCCACATGCCAACTCACATTGTTTGGCATTTGTCGCATTTTTCGCATTTTCTTGCTAATTAATATGGCTAAATCCATTTAGCTGCCTTTCTCTGGCCAGCTGGGCACACTCTCGTTCAGGCCTTTCCCTAAGCTGATTAGCGGCTGCACATCGAGGCGCAACATCAGCGCGCCTGCCCTGCCAATGCCCTGACAATGTTATCATAGCAGTCAGTATATAAATACCATGAGCACGGCTCTTAAAATAGAACGGCAGCACAGTTGAAAATTGTATTTAATTGCGGTCAGGCGACACAGATTAATGAACCGATTCAACCGAGAAGTCGTCCACAGAGAATTCATGTCAAGTGACCTAATGGCTACTGCCACAGATCTACAATAACTGTAAAATGCATATTATGAGTTTTTTTTGGAAATGTTCAACTTAAAAAAAAAAAGTAATAATAATAAATAAAATAAATAGAAACTAATTGGTGTTTAAATAAAAAATATTTACAAATTAAATAATTCAAAAAGTAAATTCATTAAAATGATGTCATCTACCTTATATTACACATGGCAGGTATATATAAGATATGTTTGCTACTTTTAAGATATATTATATATATATAAGTCTGGTATACCATTTATACCACTTATTGAATAATAGCTCAATTTTATTTATTTAATAAAATAATGTGTACATTTTTATTTTTATTTATTTATTTATTTATTTTTTATGGCATTCTTTAAGTGAATTCCTTAAAATCCTGACATTTATGAATAACTTATGTTATAAAACCTCATATCCGACATATATTTTATAATTATAACTCATTTATGATTATATTATTTTATATAAGTCTTGTATATAATACATTTTTAAAAATAATATGCACTATGTTTTATAAGGCCTATATGCATATTTGACATATACATATAGTTGATTTGTTGATTAATTGGTATCAATAGTCCAACTAGTGCTTTGGAGCGTTAAGAGCTAATAAAACATTTGATGTCATCTGAGAGAATAGGCGTAGCTCAGCTACAGTTGAATTTCAATTTATACGAAACACATCCACCAAAAAAAGCAACAAATGCGCATATCATCCCATCCCAATAGCACTGAAATTAACATTTGACCTTCCCACATTCGCCGATTCAGACTAAAGAGAGCAAAGCAAACCGCACTCTGCTTCTCCGAAATTATCGCACACTTTCCTAACATTATTCACATTTACTCAAAACACTAAACCACATCAGTTTTCACTACACACTCATTTGTAACATAATTACTCAAATTAACTAACATTATGTCAATGTTGGAATACCTGTGCTTAATAATGTGCTAAATAATCAAGTATATAATATAACAATTTTTTAAAAATTGTTTACAAAATAAAAGGAAAAGACAAGATGATTTTAAAAGATTTGTTACTCATCCATTCTATCAACTTAATCTTTTTTTTATAAATATTAATCAGGTTACCTTTAAGATGTACAGCATTACCTTAATCCATTATTCTAAAGAACTTTGAAAGTTAAATGACTTCTAAATATTAAAGAGAAGAGTATTTTTATAATATTATTTTTTATCTCTAATCATTTCCACTATATCTTCATCTATTGACATTGATATACAACAGTTGCCTTAAACATCTCCTTCTGCAATATGATTAATAATTTAAGTGAGTTATTATCTACGTAAGCATCTAATTATCTGTGTGAATTGGACGCACTTACAGGTAACAAGCGGTTTGCATTTGCTTATGTGCCCAGGTACCGCTAGCTGGAAGTGATAGATGATAGATAGCGCGCTGAGGGCACGGGCACCGTTATTTGCACATTACTTTACGGTTTCAGCTACACCCAAAACACATTGAGGCCCAAATAAACATGTCGAGCGTCATAAAAACAGAACGACACGGACATGGACATGGACATGGACATGGATACGCAAAAATGGTCATTGAAATGGGAGCGGCAGAGGGAACTGGAGCGGGAGTGGGAGCGGCAGAAGGGAATGGGAAAGGGAATGGGAACGGGAACGGGAACCGGGAACGGGAATGTGAGCTAGAGCTGGACCTTACCAATTGCTGGCGAATACGAAGAACTATTTGCAACTATTCATTTTCGCGCATGTTTCATAGTTTTAGTGCGCCTGCATGTTTAAGTTGTTTTAGTTGTTTGCTTGTTTGTTTGTGCTCGTGTTTGTGTTTATGTTTGCCTTCAAGTGTGGCTGTTGTTGCTGTTGACGTCGTCGTCAACATAATGCGAGCATTACCGATCCATTGTTGTGTATGTCTGCCCCGTCAGTCCACCTTCTGCTGGCTCTGCTCGCAGTTCGCGCAATTTTCAAATCAATTTTGTTTACTTTTTATGCACAAACAACAGCAAAAGCAACAGCAACAGCCACAGCAACTGCGACACACGCACTGCCACTTTTCTCCCCACTTTTCTGGCCATATCTGCGCGCCGGCTGTCCGTGTGTTTAACAACATTTTTATGGTTTGGCACACACCCTAAGCCAAATGGCAACAAAAAAGTCGTCAGTGTTTGAAAAGTGCATCGGTAGGCGAGAGAAAGACGGGCAGACGAGCAGCCGGAGAGACGGACAGACTGGCTAACTGTCTGACAGACATGTACATGCAACTGCAGCAGCAGCAGCAGCTCTGTAACTGTAAATTATACATTTCATAAATTTCGCTACATATTTCGTGATAATCGCATGTAATTGCGTTTTATCTGCACCTTTCATCCGGACATGTGAGCAAACAAATGCGCTTAATGCAAAGCGCCCTTAAACAGCAGCAGCAACCCCTTTCAAGCCCGAAATGCAAAAAACTGACCACAGTAACTAGCGCTCAGTAACCAGTTAGCAGTTCCATTTGCCAGACCGAAAGGCAGGCGGGCAGGCGGGCAAGCGGGGCTCGTTTTTGTTGTTTTCGTTTTGGGCTCAAGCGCGCTTCAATGGGCTTTGGCCATGTCCAGCGATTTGCGGGCAGCGATAGCCAACTATACGAACAATTTCTTAATATTTTACAATAATACGATATTTGGGTTACAACAAAAGCCAACACACACACGCAACTTGGCAACTTGGCAGCTTTGCAACCCCTCGCAGCGCTGCCTCGTCTTTGTAAGTTGCATTAAAATGTGGCGACGGACAGCTTATGTATTTTGCATTGAGTGTGTGAGTGTGTGCGTTGCTGTGTGTATGTGGACGTTGTTGTGATAACAACTCACGCGATTATCAATTTGACACCCAAACATTGTGTTGTTCGTTGGCCGCTGGTCGCCGAGTTGCCTGAGTGAATGACTGCGAATATATTCGCAACTGGATGGCTGATCACGACATCGGGCCAACAACCACATAAAAACAAAAAAAAAACAAAAATAACACCAGCAACAACACAACAGAAAAGCTGTCGGCGTGTTGACTACCGCAGAATATCAGCAGCAGCAGCAGCAGCAACAGCAACGGCAGTGGCAACAACAACAACAACAACAATAAAAGTAGTGACAGCGGGGATTAGGCAAATTTTGTGCAGTCAGTTCGTAGAGTCGACCCTTCTGGCATGCCAACAGCCCGAGCTAATATAGCAGTTATACAGTAACCAACAATTTTAAAGGCTTAAAGGGTCACTCATTCAGCTACAATGTTTGGAAAAACGCCTAAGCCTTGCAGTCGAGTGTAGCAGGCTGCGTAATGCTCGTTAACAGTGCAATAAAACGTTGAAAGACTTTAACTATCCCATAGGCGGTAATTATGCTGTATGCTCATAGCCAAAACTGCATGGAGTTCAGAGTGATATATAGTGAGTGTAGCATATTATATTATATTCCGATTTCCAGTAACTTTTCCAACATAATCGCATCAGGAAAATAATGTTCCAAATATAAAGTCTCTAAGTTCTCATACGAACAGACGTGGGGCAAAACGGACGCTGTACTTCATAGCCATGACTGAATATAAAAATAACATTTTATTATTATTTATCAGCATTCATTTTGCACACTTTTTATTTGAGCTCTCTAGAGCACAAAGCTTAAATTGCTGAAAATATTTTATTCTTTGATTTAAGCTATTAATTTTATGATATCATTTCGTCATTTCAATTTGCTCTACATAGATGTATATACATATATAATGTTCGCACATTTTTCCAATTATTATACAAAATTTATGTGCCCATTTGCTTTGCTTAATTATTATTATTATTTTTTTTTTAATATACATACATATGATATATGTATATATGCATATATTGATAACTTAATTGCACTACTAATTTCAACTGATGAATGCGGAAGAACTGAACATATTTCGAAAAAATATATAATCTTTGGCATGAATATATATGTACTCTACTGTGAAACATTAAAAAATTTTTTTTTAAATATATATGTATATATTTACATTCTCCTTATAACACAATTCAATTTCAATTGGAATTACATTTAAACTACTTCAATTCCAATTCATTTATTTTCTTTTCCGAATACTGCTTGGGCAGCACACACATCATCGACAGCATTTACTTATCTGCATAATTTGTTGAAGAGATTTGTTAAGAGCATTTTCAACGCTTCGAAAAGAAAATGTACCAAGCGACAGCTACACCAGCAGCAACAACAACAACAACGAGAGCTGGCTTAATTATGCTGTCACAGAGGCCAGAAGATAAAGAAAAACAACAACAACAACGAACCGTCTTTCGTCTCTCAGCAAGAGGCGAGATATGAGGCCGAAGTTTACAAGTAGTACAAAATTCGAATATATATTTCAGCGCTTAATTCCGTATGACACGATATGCTGACGGAGGGGCGAGTAATCTATTAAATGGAGCAATCTTCGAGTGGCATTCAAATGCATTTTTCAACAACTACATCAACTTGTGGGCAACACTGCCCAGGTGCCCCACACACACACACACACACAGACTTTGCTCCTCCTGCTCTGGCAGCTTTAGTGTTGAGTAATGAATGAAATGCAAAATATTTGAAAAATAATTTATAGGCGTTGCTCGGCCGCTGGCTATGAATGTCAATTCGAATTAAAATCATTTATTTAACTCACATATGTATGTGTGTGTGTGTGTGTGTGAATGTGGAGCACTCGGTGCTCAGCTGGAAATTCGCTTTCGAATAATTGAAAATTGAGAGGCTGGCAATAAAGGATTAAGCCTGGACAAGCAATTTGCGCAGGCGCTTTCAACTGACGTCATTTATTGTGTTAGGAAAAATAAATTTAAAAATGCATAAAGGGCCGCAAAAAATAAAACAAAAGGCAGCCATGCTGTGGCCAACCGCAGCGTTATTATTTAAATGTGCATTACGCACACACACACACATGCACTCACATGCACTTACACATTCAGACACATTAAATTAACACACAGATGCCTGTCGTTAAAAAAATCGACAGTTGGCTGGCGGTATTCCCAGTGCCAGTCGTAGGACCTCTCTCTCTCTCTCTCTCTCTCTCTCTCTTTCTCCGTCCCGCATACGACATGTTGTCATCGTCATCAACCCTTTTCCTGGTGTCCTGGCTGCGGCGGCGTCATAATTAATAAGAGAAATCCCTTTTCAATTTGACGGAGTGCATTTGTCATTGCATTTAATTTGCGGAGTACGCGGCCAAAGACGAGAAACAGAGGATGTCCGGAAGTTGTCGTTGTCCTCGAGTGCGGTTGGTCCCCGGCCGGGTCGCGGCTGCATCAGCCAGCGTCTGGTGTCAAGTAGGGGCTGTCCTCTCCTGTAACCGTTTTGCCGTTCACACGAAACATATTTAAATGCATAGCGCTTCAGTAGTCAGCGAAATTAACAGTCGCGCCATAGAAGGATAGATGGAGAATGTAAGTAAGACAGAGACAGCGATAGCGACAGCGACAGAGAGACGAGAGAGCGATACAGCAGCAGGCAAAAGAGTTAAGAATGGCTTTAATTGATTTTAATGTTTTTTTCTTTTCCTTCTTTTTTATAAAGTTATGGCTATTCCCAGGAATGGTTAAAACAGTTGCCTGCAGAGAAATAAACAAAAATATGTACATATGTTGTATGCGTATTATATATAACTGTTTTTTTCCAATGATACCAAATGGTGTTTTAGTATATATATATATATATATATATATATATATATATATATATAAATAATGATTTTGTGAATGGCTTAATGCATATTATATTAAAAGAATATATTAAAAATTGATTATTTCTGTAACTTGTTAAACGATCAATTTACCGCAGCTACATTAAACAAAAAACTAAATTGTATTATTAATTTTAAAAAATCACGCTGATTTATTTTAGGGTATAAAAAAATAAATAAAAATAAATTAAATATGAAAATGTGATTTATAATATTTAAAAAGAAAAAATTAAATATTTTTATTTAAAACTTTCATATCATTTTTGCACTTTTCCACATCATAAACTTGCAATTAAAATGCCAATCGCTGAATGAGATTGCAGCGGAAGATTGCGAAAAAATATAATAAATTAAAACTGAAATGGTATTCAAAAGAGTAAATTGATATTTCGTTCTTTTTTTATAATTAATTAAGATTTACCTATATAATCAGCACTCAAAGTGTAAACAATACAAAAAGATAACTGAAATATATTTGGGCCGAAAACATTCTTAATTTATTTCAAAGTACAGCATATGTGAAAATAGTCAAAGCTTAAGATTTGCTGGCATTGTGGCCCACTCACGTGTTAATTGCTTTCTTCAGCCCCTCGAGGCTGTTCTCGAGTGCATGTAGAACCTGAAGGGAATGATTATATTATTGATAACTATTCTGTTATCTTAATGAAGTTCGAAGCGTTGATTTTCAAGCATTGTTTTCTCACTCGCAACCGAAATGTTTCCCTTGTTTAGTTTCAAAGCTCCCTTCGAATATATTTCCGACCATTTTCATTTGTGTACTTACCTTTAAATGTGTTTAAATATTATTTAATAAATATATATATTTATTTATCTGCAAATAAATATAATTTAAAATAAATACATATACATATATATATATTATATATTTAACGTTTACCGATAAAAAGAGAACAGTTTTATATTACATTAATAATGAATTAATCATTAATTACTTAATGCATGCCATATCCAAGATAAAGCGAACTCATTTCGTAGATAACACAAGCTCATTTAATCTCTTTGCATAGCTAACAAAACTATGAGGGTCGCCGGCCTTGGTTCTGTTTAATGTTGCATTAGCCCAAGGGCCGTTGCAATTAGTAAGTATGCCTCATTTTGATTTCGGGCAGGCACTCGCCATGTCTTTCCCGCCCACACCGAGAGCTGTTCGAAGCCTTTTGACGAAAGCGGATGATGCTGATGCCGATGCTGATGTCGATGCTGTTGTCGATGTCCAGTTTTATTGACGCGTCTCCCTGGACCATATTGTTTGTATTTTAAATTGGCAGCGCGCTTAGCACATCCGCCGGCGCGCAACGAGCCGATAGAGCGATGCGCAGATGGGGATGCGGACGAGGATGCGATTGTCGATCCAGTGTGAGTTGCACGAAACGCGCTTGCGGACCAATAATTGATTGCCTTACCGTTAGGCAGCTGCTCAAAATGCGCAAGTGGCAGCAGGTGAGCGAGCCAATCTCCCAAACCCGACCGCCAGCCACTTTGCACAGATGAGATTTTCAATTTGACTAGGGCCGCCCGAATGTTTGCGTATTAAATTTGCATGGAAATCTGTCTATATTGACCGAGAATGGCCAATGCAAATGTTTGCCGGGCCAAATGAATGGCCGAGAATGAAGAGACAGCAGCAATTGCTGCTGCTGTTGATGTTGCTGTTGGTCAGTCAACGGACAGGGGGCAATGCACCCGGCGATGGCGTCGACGTCGGCGTTGCTGCTGCGATTTGCCTCTTTGGGCATTTTTAATACGCGTTTCCATTTGCGCTTGCCAAATGTTATCATTGCAACGACAGCGGCTTGCGCCACAGCAACAGCAACTGCAACAGCAACAACAACATCTACAGCAACAGCAGCAAGCCCAACGCCAAGCGCTGAGCGCACAGTCCCATGTCCCAGTCCCAGCCCAGTCCCAGTTCCAATCCCAGCGCCAGTGCCAGTCCCAGCCGCAGTCCAATGCCCCCATTGGTCCACAGCGATTGTTTTTATCGATGGGCCTACGCTATCAGCTGGGTACAGTTGCGCCCAATGCCCATGACTGTGAATGTAGTCGGAGTCAGACTCGTGTCCGTAATTGTGACTGTGGCAGCGACTGTGACTGTGCTCTGCACTTAGACTGAATGCAAAAACAAACATTTTACTTGAGTAACATTTGTTGTACGCTCAACTCTTCTCTTTTTTCTCGCAGCACAAATAGTCGGACAGTTGATAAAATGCCCGAGCAGCCTGCTGGATGGACGTGTCTGGTTAGATGGGGACACATATGCCCAGTGGCCAGTGCCAGTGCTCACTGGACTATGGACAGTGCAGTGCCATCATGTCATCAAGCATCAGACTGTGCACAAACAGTTTCAAATTAATTATTTGCTAGTGTTAATGCAAATGAAGTCATTAAGACGCACAGACTGGCCGGGCAGAAGGCAAATTTGGCCAATTGATGGCTCGCTGATTGAGTCAGCCTTGGCCTAAGCTGAAATCAATGACATTCGCTGTGACATTCAAACTATGCTTATTACATTTGTTTTTCACCATAACTAAGCATGCCGAACAATTAAGTTCCGTTTATACCTACAAAATTAGAGAGTGTTCATTTAGATTCCAGTTACACCCGCACACTGCACTTACACTTTTCACAGCTCTCTATACTTGTTAAGTTAATACGGTTTTGACCAGGCACGTCAGGCCAACAAACATTGATAGAGCTAAATTCCAAATTGATTAACAATGTTAATATCACGCTTGCGTAACGAGCTGATAAACTATTGCTCGACTGAACTGAAGAGCTGGACACGTGAGACACGGCGCCTGGAGAGCTTGGGGCGTGGCATAATTGGGCTTCTTGCTAAGCTGCCCATGCGTGATGCAAGTGCCTCAATGGCTCATCAAGTATAAGTATATTTATATCTCGCATCTATTCGCAGAACTCCCAGCCAGAGTTTGTGTGGCTCTTCGCAAGTGCTCCGGCTGATTTGTGACACCTACGAGACTTAAGTGTATCGAGACGAATATATTGACAGTTATGCCCCATACCAACTGGATGCTGGGGAAGCTTTTCAGAGGCAACGATTGACCAAGTATAGATAGGTCCCACTGCCTATGCGTAATGTGAGTGCTGCATGTGATCCATGAGAGATGATTTCTATTTATAACTCCGTTCGCAGAACCCTCAGCTGGAATATGTGACGTGGACCTATTTACGTCCAGGGGCATAAAGTCGCGTTATGTAAATTGAGAATGTTGTTTGATAAGCACAAGCAGCCAAATATGAAATTGTCTCTGTTTTGATGTTAATTCACATATGATAAGACTGCATTTCCTCACCATTCGGGCAGACAAGCATGAGACTAAATCTATAAGCAGGCATGATGCACACCTATTTTTGGATGGTTACGCTTCCAACTGCCTCATCCTAGAGGGTATTGGAAGACATCTGCGATTCCATGAAATACAAATACCTATATATATATATATATATATAGATGTAAAAAATCTCATAACTCATCAGTCTGATTTTACAAGTTGGTAAATTGAATAAATATTTTTCTGTTTGACTTTAAAAATCAATGAAATCATTTCATCATTCAATTTACTACTCTTTCTAGCTAATTTTGGTTTAATATATGATTTATATGAAGTAAAAGTGGAAGGAAGATTCCAAATCTCAGACGAGAGTATACAATGTTCGGCTTGCCAAAACTTTTTTTTTTTCTTTTTTGCTGAAGCTAATTTGCGTTATCATAGAACGTGTCTAATGATCTTTGGACTTGTTGCAGCTGAATGCCATTAGAGACAATAGAAATTGCCCGGAGGTTGCACTTACTTCCTAGTTGACCCCAGAATTTGAACCCCACCACGTGCTTATCAATATCGCTTCTCATTGTTCGTGACACATTTGCCAATTGCGAGCAACACTCGCGCATTAGCGCGACATTTATTAATTTTTATTTCTATTTATTTAAATTGATGACTTAATGACAGCTAAAGTGAATTCTTTGTTGTCACAATTGTAATAATCATTAAGCGAAGCCAGCAGTGAGAAACAACGCACTAATCACAAACCAGAATGCAGCCCACATTCTGATAAGAGCGTTCGCTGGCCGAGCCAATAACAACAATAACAACAACAATAATAACAATAGCTATAATTGAATGACGCAAACTTATTCATTGGTCAAAATGAAAACACCAGACAAGAGCTCTAAGCCCTAACGAAAAAATCCTAAATGAAAACTGAAATGAAAACCCAATGAAACAAAACAAAACAAAACAAACAAGCGAACAATAAATCAACAATGAAATTTGTTTTCGGTAAATGCATCAAATGCAATTGGCTTAATTTTGCGTTATATTCGATATCATATTTTGTGGCAACAGCGACCAATGCCAATACACACATACCCAAACTCACACACACATGCACACAGTAATTTATTTGTGAATGGGTTATTTATGCCAAAAAGCTAACACTGCACAACATGATTGCGTCGTCTAGAAATCTGCTGAGAAAAACTGCAACTAAATATTATGTAACAAAAAATGTTTGTATCTTATAATATTGTATGTTAATAATATTTAATTTAATATTCGTATGCTAAAAATAAAAATAATTCATTGTTTAATATAACAAAAAAAAAAAAAAAAATTTGTAAAAAAGTCCAAGTCATTTTTCTCAAAAAATAATCAGATCGGCAAGTTTTTATAAGTTATTATAGATTGGTGAAAATATTTTGCAGCTTATTTCAATATAAATACACACAAAAGAGTCTCAAAACGATTGAGTTTTAGGCCAAATAAAGTTAAGCACAAAATATTATAAAACAAAGCAATAAAATGGTAAAAGTAAATAAATAAATTTTAACTGAAATGGGACAAATTTTATTTAAATAAATAATACAAATCTTGCAGACTTAACTTTAAATTCATAAATTTCAAAAATCGATCAAATATAAAAATCGATAAGAATAAAAAGATATTTTGACAGAGCTTTATATTTCTATCAGATTCTTAGTGAACCTTCTAACATTGCGAGCTCTGTCCATAAATTGACGCTGAGCAGTGTAATTCTCATTTCTAAATTTAACATTAAAACCGCACAATTTCGCGATGAGCAATTAAATATTGTGTATTCGCGTTTTGAGTGTGAATCGAGGTGGTGTTGGGGCTAACCATACGCAAAACCAAATCAATTTGATGACCAAAACCAACAGTCCACAGCTCGGAGCCCACAGCTCAGAGGGCACAGCTGGCAGAGTCCATGCAAATGCAGCAGCATAAATCAAGCAGAGCTCAGCAGCCCTGCTGCTGATTACCCCTCCCGCCCAGCCACACCGAAAAGAGTTAACCCCCAAAAACAAAAACAACAAGAGCTCAGGGCACGTTGGCGTTGACGGGCAATTGGACAACGGAAAGACTGGACTGAAGGGTGCAATTCAATTACATGTTTGTGGCAAGCCGCATTGCTCAATAATGCAGTTAATATTGACGGCCAGGCGGGCGTGGAATAGCGGGGCGGGGCGAAGGGGCAGCCTAGTGGGCTGCTGGGCTGGTGGGCTGGCCGGCTGGTGGGTGCCAAAACTGAAAGAGCCATGGAGCGGGCAAATTTGACAAGGTTGATGAAATACCTCGACCTCTGCCTCAGTCTGTCGCTCTCAGTCTGCCTCTGTCTGTTTGTCTGTCTGTCTGTGTGGCTCTCTGTCTGTCCGTCTGCCACACGGTCTGCTGCATCTAATTCAATTTTCAAAACCCAAAATTCTGTTGACCAAACTGCGATGATGCGTTAGCCGGAAGGGGTTGCTTCAAGCAGGCAGCAGTGGGCGGTTCGCTCTCTCGACCAAAGTGTTTATAAGTTTTTAGCCAATGTTATTATTGTTGCCGTTGCCGTTGCCGTTGTTGTTGCTGTTGTTGCTGTTTGTGCTGTTGTGGCTGCTGCGGCTTTGCCTGTGTCCATGTTGTGGTTCGAAATGGAATTTTGTTAGCTAATTGAATTTTAGTTGCAACTCATTTGCCATGCACAAGCCAAGCCAACTGCCACGCCGAAGCAGCCAGGCAGGCAGCCAGGCAGGAAGAGAGTCAGGCAAGCAGGAGGCGGGCAGGCGGCAGCAGGCTGTGATGGGGTTTGGCTTTTGGCCATTTAATTGCTGTTTTAATTTTAGCAGCAACAGCAACCGACATTCAAGCGCTTCGCGCCAAAGTTGCTGTTGTTGTTTTAGTTGTTGTTGTGACCATCGATGAAGGTAGCAGCGAAAAAACAACAACATTTAAAATCGCATAAGGTTGATTAATGCAAAGCCAAAAATCAAAAAAACAAAAAACACCCACGGGCAATTGCAAAAAACCTGATACTATGCCTTCCAGATGCGGGTCGGCCAACACCAATAACAACAACAACAAGTAAGAAAGCTCTAGTTGAGACTACTCGACTACGAGATCCCCTGAACCCTTGGAGTAATAGCTATTTCAATAATTTTTCGCGTCTTTCAGCTTACACAAGAAACACGCACGCACACACACACACACACGCACGCACGCACGCACCCCACAGGCATACATACACATACACAGACATACACAAACAATTACATACATATACACACACAAGCATGAAACTTTCAGATTATGATTATGACATGGATATGCATGTAATTGCCAAAGCACAAGTCTCTAGTATTTGAAATACGCTTTTTACAAAAGTGAGGGTGAGGGGGTGAATTTAAGGGTGGGGGGTAAATTTTAAGAAAAACCGAAATTGTATAAATTGCATATAGGCATACATTAAAAATTTGGAGACTCTAGCAATAAAGGTGTAGAAGATATAATTTTATAACTGGTTTTCGATAAGGTTTTTTATCGATAAAAAAAGATCGGGATGAGTTATCGATTTTTAATGATAAACTTGATATGCGCGCTGTAATTACGAACATTTAAAAAAAAATTTGAAGTCTCTAGCTCTTATATCTTCTGAAATCGACGCGTTCATACATACGGACAGACGGACAGACGGACAGACGGACGGACGGACAGACGGACAGACGGACAGACAGACGGACAGGGCCAAATCAACTCAGCTCGTCGCCCTGATCAAGAATATATATACTCTGTGGGGTCTGCCACGCCTCCTTCTGCCTGTTACATACATTTCAACAAAACCATTATACCCTGATTTCCCATTGAAAATGGGTTCAGGGTATAACAACAGCATTAACAACTCTCAAATGCAAACACTCACAACTGTTGCTTTCTCATTGCTGGCATACCATCTGGATAGATTGAAACTTTGTATATGTATATTTCTTATTGAATGAGCTGATGGCTTTTATTGCGCCTAAGATCAGTGTGAGCTTCTCATTCTTTGGCTGAAAGTTCTATGGATTTGCACAGAGGTCTTGGACTGATAGGCCAGTCGTCTCCGCTTTTATTTGCTGTGATTGTGAAAAAAAAAGAAAACCTACAATTGGCAGTTGCTATGAAATTATTATTATTAATTAGATAAAAATGAATTTAAAAAATTAAATTTTTTGCTTTAATGTTAAATGAATTATTTTACTTTAAGTCTATTTCGATACCATATTTGGTTTTAAATAACTATCTAAAATATATTTTATTAATTCAGTCAATTATTTGAAAGTTTTAAATTATCATTAAGTAAAGTGGATTTTGTCAAGCATCGCAGCAGGGTTGTCCAAACAATTAGCCTGGCAGTGCCCCTATTATATTATTTAAGAATTACTTGGCAGTATTTTAAAATGTTTTTTCTTTTTTTGGCATAGCAGGTCGTACAATAAAGTATACCCCGCCTATTCTTATATTACGGAATTGTTCTTTGCGTAGCCGAGGCAAAAAATTGATTTAAATAAGCGTGACATGCGCATGACTTCTGCATTCGGCGCGCGCCGCCAAAAATCGAAAGCAAACCCGTACGAGCTAAGGAAAAATGGCTCGACCCTACCGCGCACAGCCAACACAAACATGCATACGCACACCCACACACACCCACACATACACACACACAGCAAGTCATCAAAGCTTGGTTCGCCCTCCTTGCGGGTTTTCGGCTGTTTTGCGCATTCTCTCGTACGAATATCGTGTGATTATTCTGCTTTTATTATGCCTTCTACCCATTGACAGTGGGGTATATTAGATTGAGGGTAATTTAATAGAAATGCATATATATTTTGGATCAGTTTGAACCAATCAATCTGTCAGACAAACGCCATCAAATCGGAGTTGGTTTTCTAAATAGATTAGTTAAGTAATTTAAAGCAGGGTATTTTATAGTCGAACAATCATCACTATAGTGTTTTGTTTTTATTTAGTTTATTTTTCTTTATTTATTTTTATTTTTTCGTTGGACTCGCGCTGTGCGAGTGATTCATGCTGTGATTTCCTGCACAGCCTCAAAACGTGGCCTGAGCTCTGGCTTTGGCCAACTACTAACAGAAACTGAGTTGACGTGACTATGACATGACGCGGCTGATGTTGTTGTTGCTGTTGTTGTTGTTGGTGGTGCTGCTGCTGCTCGCTTGGGCATTATTATGTGCAATTGCCCGTTTGCCGTTGCCGTTGCT